ATTGATTTTAATTATTGCAACGGAATTAAGTATATGATACATCATAAATTTAATAACTAATTAAAATTCATTTGCACGTTTTTAATTTGCTTATTGTTTTACGTTATTGTATCGACAGTTCTTAATTGAAACGCAGAAATTACGCAATTTTTTTTCGCTTTTCACGCTCTAGTTTTAAATTTCAGGAAATTACATTTGTTGCTAATCGAAATAATCGCGTGGGTAATTTTGTTTCGCAATAGATGATGATCGAAATTGAATTTGCTTTGAAATTTACTGTCATTAAGCTCTTTTTAGGTTTTTGTATTCGTCTCCTATTTTGTGTAACAATGATGTAGTTTACTCCTATTTTGTTTTTGATTATTCACTTATAGGTCCATAGAAAACAAGACATGATCATCGAGTTCGATTTGCATATTTATGACTTTGTTCCCTGCTTTACACCGGGTGCAACATAGTATGTGTTGGAAGAGAGAACCGTAACAAATATTTTTTCTCGGGTACAAACATCCCTTTCGGCTCGACGGATCAGGTGTAGGTAGATTTCTTTAACCGTATTAACAAATAAAAGAGTCCGCTATTTTGTTCCAATATGGCGGAACCAGGCTACCAGCTCCCTGGAAATAAATTCAATTAATGGTATGAATCTTACGCGGGATTTAAGGAGCATTGCCGTCCTCGGTCCTCCATCTCCCTTACTGTAGACTAAGTTACCCCCTAGGCACATCGGCTCCCTGTGCGGAGAACTAACGTTCGCTAGTTGTGGGAGCTTGTGCGTTCGATGGGTTGTTCTGTTTTGCCTTTTTGTCCCTCTTCTTCGTTTGAGCACTGCTCCTGGCTTTTGGGTATTGGGTGTCTGCCGCTCCTCTGGTTGCCCTCACCGTCCGTTCTTTGAATCAATCAGAGTTAAATTTCGGTAAATAGAAACAAATGATCTATTTTGGGGCAGAATTGAATCCTGCTATTGAGGTACATATTAAAGAGTAACCCCGATAGTTTCAGTACCATGAGATATACAAAAAGCGAGACAAAAAGTTTTTAATTTTTTTAACGGAAGCGGCATTTCTTTTCATTACTATCTACAGTGAAAAATTCTTTTATAATCTACATATACAGGATGTGCAATGATGGCCGAGTCGATGATTGTGGTAGGCCATTTAATTGAACTTCTTGTACCGTCGCAATGCCATCTTTATTATCAACCTCATTCTGGTAACTTCCTTTTTACAACCACAAATCCTTTAGACTTTGTACTTGGAGGCAAACTTTCACTACATTTTATCCTCGATTTTATCAACTCAATATTCTAACGTACTTGTGGGCGGAAACCGCAACGCGCTTCGTTTAACGTTTATCAAATGCTTTTTAGTAATAGGTAATCCAAAAATTATGATAAGTGTATGATTGATCACCCTCCACTTCGTTCCCAATTGTGAAATTTTCCCACATTATAAGTATAAATAATAGAGAAAGTTACTGCTTCCTTCAAAGGGACATTTTATTTGAACGGTAAAGCACGATAGATAAATGAGGCCAAATTACATCATATTTGCATCCGAAGAGGAAGTAGTAAGAGTTGTTAACTTTGTTGTTAAACATAGCGAAACAATTCACAATTGGGTAACTTAATTAGCATTTAAAATTGAGTTTTTCCAGATTGTTATGGTATCGCAAAAGTTCCTTCAAATATTAAGATGTCAAAATTTTTTCCTCTTTCCTACATTTCAAAAACCAAAATGATGTCTCTGAGGGGACTTTTCAATGGAAGTAGGTAGTATTGGGCACTATGCCCTTTTCCTTGTTTTTCTCAAACAATAACTCGAGCGAAATCAATCAGAATTAATCACACGATAACATATTCAGAGGTTTTCTCGTGTACTTGCAAATTTATGGAAATCAAATGGTTTTTCTAAAAATAAATTATAAACATAGATAAACAAGGTATATCACTATTTTCCGTGTTTTTTTATTATGCAACCAACGTATAATTAATTTGAAAGTTTCACCTTCTGAGTAGTAATTGAGATTTTCTGTTTGAATTGTTGAATATTGGGATTTTAAACGGACACAACAAACAAGTCCTATATGAAATTTCTCATGGGCTGTTGATAATTTTAGATTATACCAAGGTATGCATATTAGAAAATGTTGGTGGGTGATATTATGAGTAAAACGGATTAAATGCTTGAAATAGTATTTTCCTGTCACTTTCGGTTTGAGCCTAAATTTCGAAAACTGCATAGTCTATATATTTCTACCTTTTTGGAGAGAAATTTATTTAAACGTACACGGTTCAATAAATTACATCAGAACCGCCAACGTGTAAAAGAATCCTGAAAACTGCAGTCCTCTTGAGGATCTAAGTTCCGTTATCTATTGTCCGTTCCGAAGGTATCATCTCTAGGAGAAGGGCTGTAGAAAAACCATCGTTAGAGTGTTATATGTAAGATACTGTAATTTTTCTTGATTTGTATAAATAAACGATCGGTTCTCTTTTAGAAATTGCATAAAAAGTATTTTATTGAGTCACTCTGTATTCTATAAAACTATTACGTGTGAACAGATTTAGAAAGGTCTCGGTTATTTTTATCTTTTCTGTGTATAGTTAGTTTCCCTTTAAATTAGTTCAAATGTTAGCCATAAAGTAGTGTAAGAAGTTAACACGTGTTTGTCCGATCACGGAAGAAGTTTTGTTGAGTTGAAAAAGCAACACAGCGAGGGCTTTGGTTAAGGTTCTGTTTTTATTAATAGTTAAAAGTTTCTACTGTCCGAGCAGCCACCGAGTGATAAACAGTCACGCCGCCAAAATGTCCCCCTGAAAAAGCGAGATTCTTTTAAATTTTTTTACATGCGTGTCGGAATAAATTTTTAATTGTGCTTGTATTCGAATCCATTGTGCGACCCGGATAGAGTTTATATCATTTTTTTTCCGTATCCAAGAATTATGTCAGATGTTAATGAAAATGTGTGTAATTAATTATTTGGAATTTTACAAGTGTACCTACACGATTCCTTCATAAAAACTGTAATCTACTTGCTTGGGAGTGCTGGAACAGGTTCGTGGAGTACCTGGCGGGGTACATGCCTACATGGAAAGACCTGTGCGGCACTCCCAATACTGTCTATTTTGGCAATATCTGTACAGAAATCTAGTCAGTAGTTCCATGTCCATTCAATTAAAGAACATGAAACATTGCATGGGACTACTTACCAAACAAGAAGGATCGCATTCTTAGTACTTCCATGCACAAGGTAGAACAATAAACGTCTGAGATTTTATCATTTTTTTTGTTTCAAATTATTTGCATTTCGAACGTAAGAAACGTTTTCCACAAAAATGACGGCAACATGAAAGCCCAAAGGTGTGTTCGCTTCAGGTCAAACTGAAGGTAAACGACATAAATGTGCTTTATTCAGTGGCCCGCGCTTAACAACAATTACAATCTTAACCTTCACTCTTCGTTCATTGTTTTATTATAGAAGTTGTTAATGATTGTGCAATAAATATACTGCACAATGCAAATTTACTGTTTTTCATCTGAATTGGTAGTGAATGACACAATTCCGGACGTAAGAATAGAATGTCTGTCATTGATCTTACACCATAAGCGCCGATTGTTTTTGAAAATAGTGTTTTTGTTCTTGAATGCCTGGATGAACAGAGCGTAAAAGTGTCCCTAATTGTAATCATCACGGAAAGGTCAATGTAACTGGATGTTCATTTTGAAAGAGGTTGATAACATGGGCGAAACTTTATAGACTCCTTAAATTGAAAAGTGTACTTATGGATGCAGCTATATTCTTTTGTTCGCATCCGTTATACAATGACGATTGGCTAACTGAAACTGAGGAAGGAAAAAGTAGTCAAAAGACTGAGATTGGTTGATAGGTATGCACAATATCGGCACCGTAAGTAATTAATCCTCTGACAATATAAATATAATAGGTAAGTGGTACGTTATAATCTCGGTTATAATGGTATTTTGTTATGAGGCAGCTTTCTACTTGTGGTCTCCCGCTGAGATCACTTTTAGCATGATTTGAAACTGCGGTAGCGGAGAATGTTCAAATTTCCTCTCAATAAACTATAACAGCAGAAAGCGAGATTATGTGACGGTTTCACATCAGGATAAATTGCACCAACGAATTTATTAATAAACTTTATCCTTATCACCCATTGCCGCCTGTTGAGGGGATGTAACGCTAAATTAATAAGAGAAGCCGCAAAGGGATTCTATCTCAATGAAACATGACGTTGCCAAATCACCAAGTAGCATCTAGATCAGAATCTTTAGGAGGCGTCATCTTAGTCTTAGGGTGTATAAAAAAAGACAATATCAGACACGCCGCACTCTAAAACCCGACTAAAGTCATTATTTGGTATGATTGCAAAGAAAAAAATTTAAAAAAAAACGCAAATTTAGAGGCTTGGGTACGGGTATTTAAGAAAACGCGCTGGTTTTTAATGTCAAAAAAGATAATTTAGAAAAATATCTACTCAGGATAAGACATGACCCCTATGCTTTACTGACATAAGGAGTAAGTTTCTCTCAACTCTTGTGCGCGAAATCAAGGGTAGCCCCACTGAAAATCATCTTACCATGTATTTGGAGCTGGCTGCGCCTCACATTCTTACTAATTTGGCAGGTATTGTTATTAAATCGGTACCATTGAAGTTTGACCGCATTGTTTTGTGATCTGACTCGCCTATAGTCTTAGAAAGGGTAATCTCATCCAAATATATTGAATACTTTTATTGAGAATTCTTAATTAATGTTCAGAGATCTTTTTGGTACCAAAAATTACCAAATAATACTTATGCTTACGTGCCTTAAAAAAAGAGACACATTTTGGCACACATATTTTTTGTATAGGTGAGACTCCTAATTTTATGTGAGAATTGAGGTCTCGACAGTGACAACCGCGTGCGCTGAGAAAATTGTAGAAATGAATAGAATTAATTCACAAACCTAGAAATTAACATCTTAATTTTGTTTCAGTTGCCATTTCGTTGGGCTTACAAAAACCAGTCGTGTCATAATCATCAAATCCACGGAGCGTTCAGTTAAAGGTAATCATGAGTTAAATGTAGAACCGTTTCCTATTCAAAACTTTTCACCAGGTAATAATGTCACAGAGAGTTATGGTTAAAATCTACGCTCCACGCACTTTCTTCCGTCCTTAATATTTCAAACGCGTTAGATGGTTCTATTTTTGTGTAATTGCACGCGATTATTTGTTTATGTAATTACTGCATAGTGTGTAGGAATGCGCTCCTTGTATATAAAGTGAAAATTAAAGTGGGAAAGTGATACCCAAACGCCATTTGCGTTAAATTTTACTAATTAGTGACGTTCGAGTAAATTACAAACCTGCGTGAACTTTTCGTTTCCTTTCCTTTGACCTACTAAGTTCGCTAGTTTGGTTCCGTTAGTAAATGTACGGTTGTGAGGAATAAATAGGCTGTATCGTCGTTTGTTTTCATTCATACTCAATTTTTCCCTTTTTGTGGTTTTGAACGCTCAAATTTTTGCGTGTTTGAATCCACTAGGTAACACAGTGGAATTTGTGCTCGTGTTGGTAATTGCTCTACCTTCGTACCGGCCAGGAGATCTGGTGGCACTCAGTTTCGTGTCACCGCCGGTCTACGTAAAACGATGACGCTTGCAACTTTGTGTTCAAACGGTCCAAAATCAACTTCCGGGACATGACAAGTCAATTTTGGGGCCACAATTTGTGATTTATGAGTTTCCAATAATTACATCAGTACATGTACAGCAATAACCATTACGTAGCAATCAGTTCGTGTATAATTAAACCTCTCAAATACCTAATCCAAAACTCGACCAACTGGAAAATGGTTACTTATTATAGTGGGCACAAATTTAGCTGGTATTATACTTGTCATTCTTCCCACTGACCATGACGCCCCTGTTGAATGATTTGCTTGTCTAAACGCAGCTTTAACTTTTTACATTTCCTCTGTTGTATATCTATTAAGGGCTCTGTGAAGTAGGCAAGCACAGTTGAAGCACTAGACCTCGGGTATGGCCCATTCATTAGTGCTTCGTTAGTGCTTTCTAGTGCCTTATTAATTTTCTAGTCAACACCTAGCGGCATTGACTTAACCGAATTGTTTGTCCACTTCACACTAGCAAGCACTTTCGAAGCACTATCGTCGATATATGGTTCATTCTTTAGTGCTTCTAAATGCTCCAATTAATTTTGCAGCAACACTTGCCATTCACGATTTATCGATATTTTTGTGAACTGTTTGCCAACTTCACACCAGCAAACACACTGAAAGCACTATACTTGTGATATGTCTCATTGTTTAGTGCTTCGGTAGTGCTTCCTAGTGCTTTAATTATTTTGATAGCAACAACTATCGGGTCAAAAATATGGCGACTTTTGCGACTTCACTGTGAAGTTAGCAAACACCATGTAAGCATTGTACTTGTAAGATATCTCGTTCTTTAGTGCTTCGGTAGTGGTTCCTAGTGCTTTAATTATTTTGGTAGCAACACCCAGCGGGTGAAGAATATGACGACTTTTACAACTTCTCTGTGAAGTTAGCAAACACCCTGAAGACACTATATTTGTGAGGTGTGTCATTCTTTAGTGCTACATTAGTAATTTCTAGTGCTGTAGGTTTGAAGCTCTACTTTTATATGTAATGTTACTAAGGGCCGATTCTACAGTGCAGGTATATACCGAGAATAACCTATACCTAGAATAAACGTCGACGTTGCGTTGTTACCTATGCGTCAACCAATGGGATACTTGTTACTATGGCAGTTATTCCAAGAATATTTTATTCTGCGAGAGGTGTAATTGTAGAAGCGGCCCTAAATAATATATTACTGTGTATAAATTCATATTATGCTCAATATTAATATGACGGTTTAATTCGACTCCCCACACAAAAATATCGATAAATCGTGAATGGAAAGTGTTGCTGCAAAATTAATTGGAGCATTTCGAAGCACTAACGAAGCACTAACGATTGAACCATATATCGACGATAGTGCTTCGAAAGTGCTTGCTAGTGTGAAGTGGACAAACAATTCGGTTAAGTAATTGCTGCTAGGTGTTGACTAGAAAATTAATAAGGCACTAGAAAGCACTAACGAAGCACTAATGAATGGGCCATACCCGAGGTCTAGTGCTTCAAGTGTGCTTGCCTACTTCAAAGAGCCCCTATTAAGGTGATAGATAAATGAGTTTTTTGCTTCCTAGGGCGGGCTGCCCAAAACTTTGTCTTTAATATATGAGTTTTTAACGCCATACCTATACAACCGTGTGTTGAAATAGTAACCCCAATTTTTTATTAACGAGCGAAGTTTTCGAGTGGTTACCCATTCAAATACGAATATTAACCGGGATAAACGATTCTTGACTGTAGATAATAAATTAATTATTAGTAATAAACACAAACAAAAGTAAAAAAAAGAACGTATAAAAAATTAGCGACTATCGCGAATGAAAATAAATCGCAGGTTATCTCGTTACCACCTTAACGGTTTTATACGATAGTTTTGAAGCAAGCATTTTTGCCTAGAATAGATATCAGTTTCAGGGGTTGATTTATTGGGGTTTAACTGCATGAGCGAGACGAATTGGAGTGTAGCTGAGAGCGTAACGGTAATTTCTTGCGACTACTAGTTTCGTAATCTTATATTTCGTTTAATGTTACTTATTTAATTTATATAGGTACAGGGTGTCCCATTTATATTGAGACAGTACAATTACGCAGTATAATTACGGAAACTATAACGGCGATATCAAAAAATGCTGTATATATAAAATATTCTTCATATGGAGGAACCCATTTAATGATGATTCATCTACCTCGCCTACAGAACCTGCGCGTGGGTTCCTCCACTATCCCAATGTTATGCAGGTGATAGTTAACCATCCAGTGCCCCGTGTGGCCACCGGTGATCTTCCCAATATGACGCGATAAAAGTTTTTAAAATAAATCGGTCTTTTATCAATTATTCAAAAATCTACGCTGCATCCTCGTTCAGTATGCAGAAAGGCTATTCTAGCGTGGCGACAGCACTCCACCCTGCGGCGGGTATCCTCCAGTAACCGATGACCTCATCTCCGTCCTCCCGATTGAGGATATAATGACTGGCGCGGATCAATTTTACGATTGACCTATCAATGCCAAAGCATCGCACTCTCGATATCTAAAAACGCTCCCAGGGCTACCTCTCGACCTGTGAGGGCGTCGGTAGTAATCTTGACGCCCCTAAAGAAGTTGGAGGTGGAGCACTTTCCTTGCTTTCGTCACAAATGTTACGTGCGAGATTCGAGCAGGGTTCTTCGTGCGGAAGGGCGTCCTCCATAGGCTCGTCCTGAAACCAGGATTTTGCTTCTGGGGGCGTTTCAAGATGGTGGCCGTGTCATCCAGGAGCCCGTATAACACAATCATCAACTTGGCCACCCTAGGGACGACGTGCCCTGCACTTTCAGAGCCGCGACACCCCAGGCCCTAATAAGGGGGACGATCCTCTCCAACCAGTTCAAGGTCGACTGGTGCTCGCATGCGGTCACAATAGCACCCCGGTTTGGTTTTACTCTTGAGCCGCTTCCTAACATTCTGTGCGCCAGTCTTATTCTTCTTGAAAATAGTACTCACCACCAGGTCCTTGAATAAGGCCCCCCGACCCTTCTTTCGAGGAGCCTACCCCGTTACCAGACTCCTTTGGAGGGCCAGGCTTATTGATCCCCCTGACGAGGACGTGCTATGTCTGCCTCAACACTGTTTTTACCGGTTTTTACTGTTCTTATAATGATTTTCAAAGGAAAGTATTCCCCCCCCCCCCCCAACCCTCCTGTGTTACATTCTCCCCTAAACCTTTGCAACCCCTCGCGATGTCATTATCGTTGTTGAGGGAAACTTCAACTTCACTGAGGCGTATTCCAGACTCCTCGAGTCGCCAAACATTTTTCAACCTCCCCCGCTTTTTGATAATCTACTATTACTCTTCACCAAATCTTGTAGTGTCCTCCGCGCTCGCATATGATTATGTTTGAGGGTAGGCCACCGACTTCCCTTTTCCTAAAGGATATCCCAAACCCCCTCGTGCTACGTTCTCTCCCAAAAATTGTAGAGAATTTCTCACTCTCATTAATCTTTTTTTTAAGGGAAGCCCTTCTATCCCTCTCCTTTTTCCTAGTTCCCCCGATGCTATATTCCCCTCTAAAGCTTTTACAACCCCACAGATACAATCTAATGAGATGAGGTTTTCTGCAACACATTGGATTGGCTACCAATATTTTTCGCTCACTCAAGCTGAAATTTTCAAATTAGATAGCCCAGTAATGCCCACTAATAAAAGATTTCTTTGAAAATGTCGTCAGAAAATATAAAAGCGTTTTGAGAACTATTTATTACTTATTACAGTATCATGAATACAAAGAAAAACATACCAATGAAGACAAATAGCCGTTCACCATATAGGTACTATTTGTAGGTTGATCTTGATGGCAGCTCGGAAATTAAAAAAAGTGCCGTACAGAAGACAGAAGTTTCGATGAATTCCATTTGGTTTACCAATTACCAAAACATTTTTCTATAGTTCTTTGCGATTGTTTTTACTTCAATTGCCGTATTTTTGGGGTTGTTTATCCAACACATTCTACATGAACCCACTTTTTAAAAAAATCCTTATTGGTATAAATAAAACTCCTACCAACTGAATTAAATTAAACCAGGCGTAATTAAAAATACCCACGTAACTTTTTTCCTATTAAAAATACGCTACTTATCGTAGTTAGGCATCAATTATCAGTCATTTGTATCGTGTCCAAATCATATATTTCAATCCTGCATTAAGTTTTTTTAATTAGATAATTGAAATTCCGATTAAGTAATTTCGATTGCATAATTCCCAGCAGCGACTACTGAATAATTTCACGCGATTTTTTTTAATAAAACGTCTTATTATGTCTCGTCCTTTCACGGAACTTTAATTTTTTAAATAATAGCGGAGTTGCGTATTGTACTTTACTTTTTCTAAGGAGGCGAGTGGATAATTGATAAAACGTGTATTATTAATTGTATTATAAAGGGGTCCTCGCCGTACCACTTCCGTGCCATTCGAACTCTATAAATATCATAATTGTGGGTTAGTATTTTATTAATGTAGGTATATTGTGGGTATATTATGGATCATGTCAGTAGCAATGCAGATTTACACGTGCTATTATAGTTTGTGATATACACGGTATTTCCAAGTTAGTGTTACAGGTGTATTCTAGTATCTACTACCTCATCTTCGACGCACATTTGGTCACCAAGACCAATATCCAGTATGTAGAATAGTTTTTTTTCCTTTTTTTGCCCACAATTGTGAATGTCACCAAAAATATACTTGTTTTCTTGATCTTTGAAGATTTACAAAACTTTTGTTTGGAAACAGCATGGGCGAATGAGTACCTAACATAATCACGGATCCGAGTGGTATCGGGATGACTATACTTTGTCGATAAATTGAGTAATTATTGCAACTGCCAAACTGATATGTACAATCCAGATCTGGCCTTGATGTAATTCCTCATTCGTCTCCAAACGACAGGAGTGCTTGACATTGTGAAATAAAGTTACAAAGCAGCAGCAACAGGTGTTAGACCGGTAGAACAAAGGTTAATGATGAAATGAATTTTTCACTTCAAGGATCATTGAAACAAAGATGCAATGCAATGTTGAGTAATTATGAAAGTAAACTTGGGATTTATAATTAGTCGAGGCAATGTGCAATTAGAAAGAAGCCTTTGAAAGTGGATCACGGTTAAGCTTTACATTCTTTCTTTTATAAGCATTGAGCTCGCAACCGCCAGGACTCTTCTAATCCATTCATCAAACTGGTCCGTGAAAAACGTCCATAAATATTTACTTAATTTACATTAATTAATAAATTCGAAGAAAGTGAAGCTCGTTAATTTCATGTTTGTTTTTCCTACTTCGAGCTTTTTTGCGACATTTGTAGAGATTATGAACCGAATTGAAGGACAACTTCATACTGTTTCTTGTTCCATTTTTTTAGCTTCATAGGTAATTCCGCATATTTGTTGGCATCAGAAAAACAGCCTTTAACTATTTTGTCGTGATCTAACTGTTAGAATGGAACGTGCAAAGATTTTGTTTTCCAATCAGAGCGCTGTTTTCTAACACTTTTGTAGTTGGTAGTATTCGAAACCACCATGACAAATTTTCAAAAAAAATTAGTGTTGCATTATGTCATTCAACGTGACAGACGTCACTGTCAGATTATTCCTAAGGGCCAAGGGGCTCAAACAGCCGGGAGCCTCGACGCGATATTTAATAACGAAAGCTAACGAAGATTGCTCCAGGAATTGAATGTGATGAACGTTTAGGAGAAGAGTGTGTTAGAGTAATTTATTCACCTAAGTAGATTGTGGTCTCTCGGTTTGAAGTTTGGCCAACATTTTTAGTTGGGTTTCCTGTGCGTGGAAAATCTAATGCGTTGTAATTGATTTTTGAAGTAGGTACGCATCAAGATTCAAACTGAGCCCGGTATGAAATTGCATTCTGAAAACCCTGAAGTTTGAATCTTGCAATAAATGCCAAGAAATATTTAAGTTGAAATATGAATCTTGAACTTCTTGAAAGTGGAAGTATCTATCTCTATCGAATAAATTCATTAAACTAATACTAATGGATACTTAATCTGATGATTAATGTTTTAAAAAATCTATTATTTCTTGATTGCCGGCATCATGCATTTGACAAATCTATTAAATGACAACAGAGATGTTGATTAATATTTTCTATAATCGATTATGCGATTACTAGATTATTTCAATAATTAACCATTCGATTAATCGAGTGCAACTCGTACTTTATGCGTGATATTTAAAAACTGTTATTTATGCCATTTTGGAAAAGGAAAAAAGTATGAAAAATGATGGAAGAGGAGAAAATAGAGAGAATTAAATGGGCAGACAAGAATGAGGGTAAAGGACTGAGAAAGGGTTGTCCACTTAGTCCAACCCTCGGCCCAACCTTTTTTAATTAATTCCTACATGAGAGGCATGAAAAAAATATTAAGACAGGGTCAAAGTCGAGGGATAGTAGGGGGAAGAAGAAAGATATGGTCTCTGGCATCTGGGGTTGTGACATTACCTTGCAATATACACCCTTAATAACTTGGGTACGGAATGTGGTATCATTTGGTTGTTTCCCTTTATGTTCTTGCCACGCCCGGCTTTAAAATCTTACCTCGCATTACAAAATCGCATTCCATTCCCTAGATAATCAGGGTGGAATGTTTTAAATGCCAGCCCTGTGTATATGTGTATAAGGTGAGGTGAGTGTACAGGATCTGCACCAATGACATTCCGCCCCTGTTTTTTGCCACCTTTGGTTTTAGGTTACCCTCATATTCAGCGTATACCTCGGCGTAGGTATACGTAAACCCACCCTTGTATGGTTCTAAGACGAGTACATTTGTGCACTCATTTTTTTTCGATATATTGTACTTAATTAGTAAATAAAATGCGAATTAATTCAATTGTAGGAATATCCTGGAATGTCATTTTCTTTGCACAGAAATTGAACAGCTTCCACACAATGTCGCAACACTAACTTTTTCGTTATCTTATATTTCAAAAATTCTCAACAAACGGAAGTACTCCTGCATTAAGGCATAATTACGGTAAAAATTGAAAACCATTCTTTCTCCCAACTTTTCTATTGTTCAAGATTCCGAAAGACCCATTGGTACTCGAGCAATTATAACGCGAGCGTATGTATTATTATTATGAAATTTAGTGCCTATTGTTATAAAATGCAGTATCGCTGGGTGAAACGTTAGTGTAATAGCTACGTATATATATTAGTTTAATGACCTCGATGGTAGTGCAAATTTATTTTTTTTAACTCTTGAAATGGTTCACTTACTGGCGAATTAGAAATAATTTGAACCATTACAGATTTTTTTAGTTCATTGTGGTGATCTAGAAAATTGAAAATAGGAGTTCAACGTTTCCCAAGTGATTGCTGTTTGTTATCACATGTCCTTCCGCTTTGAAGAGTCATTACATGAAATTTACATTTATAATTTGTCATAACACTAATTATCTCGTTATGCGATTTAGATTGGTATCATAATGACGTAAATTTACGTAATCTATAGACGATTTACAAAACGCGCATTTTCATGTTTCCCCTATCAGTTTTTACAGTTTTACTAAAAAAAATCCATTAAATTCATATTTGCGTTTGAAGTGTGGTCCGAGAACTTCGTCTAGAGTCCAGCGTGAAAATAGTTCTATAAATAAGGCAGTTAGTTGCTCGGGCAAGAAACTTTCAGACGCGTGATAAATGGAATGAGATTATAGAATTGGTCAAAGCGAGGGTCAAAGCAATGATCTGAACCTAAAAACATCAAATTTACTTCATTCTTACATCGACCCATAGACTGCAGGTGGTGGTTTATTGTCGAATTTAGCGCAATTAAATTAAATTGTACGAAGACCAAGGTGTAATTCGAGGTGTAATTGCTTGCACTAATAATCTGATTAAAAAAACCACCTGTCGTCGATATAGATATAAAAGTAAAAGTGACTTTTCGTGTTGATGGGGTCCAAAAAATTGAATAAGTAGTGGAAATTTAGTTATTTGGTCTAGGGACTGGATTTAAGGACTTGATATTTTGGCGATAGTAATTAGCATTTATTTGCTTTCGCGATTACTCGATATTGACCTTTTACTCCAATGTGGAGGCTCGTTTAAATAATTTTCTTAATTATTCTCTGTTTGGAATCTTGCTAAACTGCATTTTAGAATTGCTTCTAATTCGACCACTCCTTTTTCAGTATGGCAACACTATTAAAATGGGCTCAAAATACTACCCAAGGTAAAAATAACAACAAAAATAACAGCACCAATGGCGAACGGAAATGGATTCACCCTCCAGAAGCGTTACAAAAAGGTCATGTGGCGTATCTGGTCAAATTTCTCGGAAATACTGTAGTAGACCAACCAAAAGGTAACAGTCTAAGATTGCGAACTTGTAAATTAATTTGCTGGTTTGCAGGAATAGAAGTCGTAAAAGAAGCAATACGAAAATTACGTTTTTCGCAGCAACTGCGTAAAAGCGAAACAGGTGCCAAAACGCGTAAAGTCGAATTAACGGTAAGCGCAGACGGTGTAGCCATCCAAGAGCCTCGTCATCATAATATCTTACATCAATTTCCCCTACACCGAATATCCTACTGTGCGGATGATAAAGGCGAAAAAAAATTTTTCTCCTTCATCGCCAAACAGCAGAACCAAGGTACTAGGATCCTTTCACCGACGACGATACAATAATAATTATCTTGTAGATAGCGATCAAGAAGAAAAACACGAATGTTTCGTATTCATATCTGATAAGTTAGCGGAAGAAATTACATTAACTATAGGTCAAGCCTTTGAGCTCGCTTACAAGCGCTTTCTAGAGACCTCGGGAAAAGATCTGGAGTCGCAGAGGCGAGCAATGGTGACGCAACAGAAGATCAAACGACTCGAACAGGAAAATAATATTTACAAACAGAGGCTTTTGGAAATCACCCGCTTTAATAGTATTAAATTTGAACTCGACCAATACTTGAAAAAGCACGAAATTCGAAGTTTGCTAGAACTTCCACTAGGCCAGTCTACAAATTCTAGCAGTGATATATCTAGTGTGCATCCGGAGCACGTTAACGGAAATATTAGCGATCAGTTGGTAGATTTTGGTGCCTCGGAGACTACCAACGGTAATGGAATCGCGCCACCTGTACCCCCCAGGCAGTTTGACTCGGCGCCGACCGTTGGAACAAAATTGGAGGGGTTGCTGCTCAATGAATTGGATCATGACGATGACTTTGATCCAAGATCGTACGAAAGCAATCATAACACAACGCACGCTCTAATTATGAATGGAAACGCTTCAAATCCGCCCCCATTATGCAAGTAACGGCTTTGTCTGTATTCATACTAATTTCAGTATTACAGTGGCTCCCCCTCCTAAAGCTGCCCGGAGAAGTAACATCAATAATAACAACATGGAGAATTTGCAAAGGACATTCGGACAAGATCTGTTTGGTGTCTCTCCTTTTGTATCACAAACAGCTGTAACCCCGTCTCCTAACAGGTAGAGTAGTCGACTGTACTGTGTTATGCTGATAGAACGTTTTTTAGTGTAAAAACATCTGATCCTTTCGAAATGGGAGATTTTGCCACTGCTGCTACGCCCCAAGATATTGAAAATGCCATCGGCTTGTTGGATAAACGGATATTGGAAATGAAGGTTTGTTAAAAACTGGACTATATCATGTTTTTGCGAAACTTTTTCAATTGAAAGTCTTAGTCGATTATGGTTCTGTGGGATATAAGTTTCGCTTTACATATGATATAGTGATAAACACGAATGGCAATTTTCGTATAATAAAGAAAATTACAAATTTCAGACTGGTTTTAGTCGTGGTATCAGTTTTGGAAATGAAGATTTTTCTTTGGAAAGTCTAGATCCATTAAAGAATTAAATTTTTGATAAATGTAAGATATATTTATTATTGGAAACGCCCAGGCTCCTATCAACGTGATTCTAACCTAGATCAAAAAATATACCTACTTTAAAATACTTTAAGATTAATTTTAAGTAAAAAGTATTATGTAGATCTGATCTATATGTTATATTTTATATTTAATTGCTTATAATTGTTATACATGAATAAATTTACAATATCTAAAATAAATTGTAGTACCTCAAAAAATAAATAACTATGCTATACCTTTTCAGAAAGAGCAGTTCTCTTACATACAGGTAGCCTTAAAGAAGGTCCTTCCTCCAACGGCGGCCTCCCCCCTCATTGTAAGCCCTTGATCCTGTTTCAATTTAATTTTTGAACTCCAAATTGACATCGCGGAGGGTTGTAAAGCTACTAAGCGATGGGAAAAGACAAGCATTTACAGAGTAACTGCTTCCTTGGGGGCATACGGCGGCTTTTAGGTTCAGTCATGATTGAATCTGTGCCACAATGGTCTAGTGGCTGGGACACCTGGCTTGCATCTGGGATGATCGGGTTCGATTCTTGTGTACAGAGAACATTTTTTTATAAAAATGCGTTGCCAATTTAGCGGAGTTGGATAAGTAGGTTCAAAATTGTCTTCTCAAATTTTTTAAAGCAAATTTAGACAAAATAAATTTTACACAAAACGCATGCCCACGAGGAAGCAGTTACCTCTGTAAGCGCCCTTGGAAACCGATGTACTTTGTGTATTTTTCTGATTTGTGACGTATCCTCGTCGTCCTGCGTAATATGCGTAGGTACTTATTTAGACAAGGCACGTTTTCTGTTACTTGCTGTGTTTCGCGTCGCCTATATTCAACGCCTTCCTTCGGTCTTTTTTCCTCTTGTATCAGATTTCATTAAATACCCTTCACTCTCTCCGCCGCCCCACCTACTTCCACCCTATTTCTTTACATTTCGTACAGGTCTTCTTTTAGTCTCCTTATTCAAGCTCATATCTTCAACACGCTTTCTTTACGCATTTTTTATGTTTTTTTTTGCGTCTCCTTGAAAGGTTTCACACGCTTCCTTTACATCACCGTCATGCATTCTTATACCGCTTCCTTCACACATTGTTCATCTCTCTTTTCTTTTGTGTGAAATGCCTTGCCGCCTCTTTCTCATCACTTTACGCTGTTTAGCGCATTTTCCAAAATGAATCTTCTTTCAAGAGCTTCTTATGCCGTTTCTAAAGTTTTCTAGTTAGGACATAAACACGTTCTATATGTTTTATGGTGCCGCCTAGCTCCGTAAATGTCATCGACCAACACCTCGAGGGCTCTAAAGGGCCTTAGTAAACTAAAGTTCTTAAAACTGTAGTTTTTTTATACTTAGGTAAGTACTTTGGAAAATGCCCAAGTACTTTCAATCGGTTTCTGATACTATGCTCGCTTAACTCTGAAAACGGCTTAAAAAAGGTCATTTAAACTGCAAAGCGCGGGATGGACTGGAGTGGGATGCTTTTTAAAGCGTTTTCTATAGAATTCAAAGAGTGCACGGTAATGAAAAGTCTTCAGGGCGCTTTGCAAAACTTCTATCACAGCATCTGTGGTTCTAGATGGTTTTTTAGGCCATTTACAGAGCTCTCTCTCTTGAGATTGCTATCGCGCCGTACCTAAGACTGTACATGGTGTTCCTAAATATCATGTAAACATGGAAGATTTCAACATTTTTTAGGTTTTTCCTTTATATCTCCTGCAGTTTTTTTAGATAGTTTCCTAAAATTTTAAATATGTGTCCCTGAAGGGCTTACGTATTGGTCATGTCAATGGGAGTGAGAATCTCCACGGTTTTATTTTTTCAGGGGCCCTGTCCAATTTCTACCCTTACATTTTTTTTGGGTGCGCCACTGCTAAATTATAAAATATGAATTTGATTTTTTGATTTGTTTGGAAACTTTTTGGTCTCTTGTAATTTTTTGGTATTTGAGAGCGTTATCGAGAAAAAATTCAGATTTAGGTAGTTGGCTAAATGAAAGTAAAATTTTTAAAATTATCCACTAGGCTCTGTCTTTTATTTGGATAGTCTCTTGTTTTTGTTAGTATTGCAGTTTGAATTTGAAATTGTGTTTGCATATGTTTATAAATTAACAGTTTAATATTGCAACGTTTACGGTGAAATTATAATACCCTGTATGTACATCCGTAACAAAAGCGTTTGTCGGCCAAAGTTTATATGAACTTTTTTATAAAATAAGCCAAAGAATTAGCCCCTTCCGTATTTACATCATGTTTAGGAAGTCGGGAGGACACCTTGTATAAGTCCCCTTTCAGAACCCGTCCATTTTTAGGGATATTTCGCCACGACATAGTGAGTTGGTAGTGGAGGGAATTTAAATTAAAATAAACAATTTTAAAGTTCTAAACAAATTGCTCTTAAAAAGTGTTATATTCAGTAAGTAAACACTAAATTTATTGTTTATTTGTGTAATTAGGTATAATTAACAGACTCGCTGCGCTTTAATAAGGCACATCGTACAAGAACTTCCTTGCGTATTCGGTGAGTGATTTTAATTGTATTTATGTAATTATAACTTGTTTAATGGATTTTGTAGTTTGTTTATAATAATTGCACAATTTGCAATTCATTTTCGCAATGATAAACGTCGGATTGTCTTCGGTTAACAGTTGTGATTAAAGTGAGGTTAGGTGTGGTACACATTTTAAATTCGTTGTTATTAAGTGCCAAGGGAGGTAAGTGGTGGTTAATTTAATGTTTTTCTTTTTAATATTTCCATTTGTAGATGTGGAGAATACGCCATTGCAATCAGCTAGTTAGGAAATCAAGAAATTACAAGTGCAAGTCACAAGCTGCCACAGTTCAGAAAAGTCTTGAAAATAATGCTTCCGATATTGAAGCCTTCCACCCTGGTGCTAACATTCACGGTTTTGTTGTGGAGGACCTTCAAAAAATCAACGTTTTTAATATTACAGCGTTACATTTAGTGCATACACAAACGAAAGCAAAGTACATCCACTTGTACAGGGATGACAATAACAATGTCTTTTCGATTAATTTCCGCACAACCCCCATGGACAGTACAGGTTTGCCTCACATCTTGGAGCACTTGGTGCTCTGTGGATCGGAACTATACCCCGTACGCGATCCCTTCTTCAAAATGTTGAATCGATCACTGGCCACTTTTATGAACGCCATGACCGGATCCGACTACACCATTTATCCGTTTAGCACACAGAATTTCACAGATTTCCAAAATCTGCAAAAAATTTACCTTGATGCCGTTTTCCGCCCCAAACTGAATAACTTGGATTTCATGCAGGAGGGGTGGCGATTAGAATACTCGGATCCGAAGGATCCCAATTCGAATTTAATAATTAAAGGTGTTGTGTATAACGAGATGAAAGGCGTTTACTCGGAGAACGAAAATATTTTCGTTCAGAAATTACAAAATTTGATTTTACCCGATCATACTTACGGTGTTATTTCTGGTGGTGATCCTTTAGTTATTCCCAGTCTGACTTGGGACGATTTGAAACGGTTTCATCAGAAATGTTACCATCCCAGTAATGCCAGATTTTACTCTTATGGCAATTTTCCGTTAAGTCCGTCTTTGGAGTACATAAATAGTGAGTATTTGTCGAAGTACCAATATAGTGAACCCTCGGACACGATTGTACCGTCGCAGAGTCGCTGGTCGAAGCCTAAGAAGCAGCATTTCCTAGGTCGGTTCGAGAATATGCGGGAACCTTTTGAAAAACAAAATATTTGTTGTGTGTCTTTGCTGATGACCGATGTTCTCGATGTTTATCAGACTTTTTTGCTGCAATTTATCACCGAGTTGTTGGTGAAGGGGCCAAATTCGCCCCTGTATAAAGCATTGATCGACAGTAATTTTTCGGGAGGCTTCACCACATGTACTGGCTTTGATACGCAACAGCGTGACACCGTGTTTACAGTAGGGTTGCAGGGCCTGGAGAAGGGAGACATTGACAAGGTCGTAACTCTCTTTGATCAAACAATTGGGGAGGTTATTGCCAACGGGTTTGAAGAAAAACACATCGAGTCTGTGTTGCATTCTTACGAGTTGAGCATTAAGCATCAGACTGAGAATTTCGGGTTGTCTTTGTTGTTCGGGCTCACACCGATTTTAAACCATGATGGTAGTTATTTTGACGTGTTAAAAGTTGATGAGTCAATGAACCGTCTTAAGACGCATTTAGCCGATGACAAAGAGTACCTACAGAAAGCTGTGAAGACGTATTTCGCCAGCAATACCCATCGGTTGTCTCTTTCTATGGGCCCTGACAAGAATTACGAGCTGGAGCAGCAGATTTTGGAAAAGAAGTTAATTGAGGATAAAACCAAGAACTTAAGTGGCAAGGATAAGGAGCTGATCTACACCAAAGGATTGGAACTTCTCAAAGAGCAGAGCGAAAAGCAGAACACTGACTTACTACCAAGCTTGGAAATGAAGCACATTAATAGCGAACTCGAACATATCCCCACCTTAAAGATGAAAATTGGAAATATGCCCACCACCATTTACTCGGCAAACACCAATGGTGTAACTTATTTTAAAGGTATACTAAGCACCAACGACTTATCATCCGAACAGCAAATGCTGCTGCCGTTATTGTGCTACATACTTCCCAAAATGGGTACTAAAACAATGGACTATCGAGAGTTTGACAGTCTAATGAGGCGCAAAACCGGTGGCCTACACTTAAGTCCCCACATTGGAGATAGCCTATTTCTTCTGCACTCCTATGAGCCAGGAGTTTTGTTAACCAGCTACTGTTTAGATGAAAATGTGGAAAGCATGTGGTACTTGTGGAACCAACTGTTTTCCATGCTAGACTTGAAAAATATGGATCGCTTCAAAACCCTCGTGCAACTCTACATGTCCAACCTAACGCAAGGGCTCGCCGACTCCGGCCACATTTACTCCATGCAAGTCTCCGCCGGATTAGTTTCTGGAGCCGCTCAGCAAAAGGAGCTTCTAAGCGGCCTCCACCACATTACTTACATGAAAGGTCTAGTAAAAGCTGAGAACTACGAGCACCTCTTACTAGACCTCAACAACTTAGCAAAACTAATCTTTGACAAAAACAAGATGAGGTAAGTAACTCAGGTGAAAACATCCATAAGTAGTACCTTTCAGGTGCTCATTAAACATCTCGGAGAAGAACAGATCGACTATTGTTCCAACCTACGAGACGTTCATCAACAGCTTGCCCGGCAACACCTTCGGAAAACCGAACGAGAACACTTTCCACACAAACCAACCTTCACCTTTGAAAACCGTGAGATGTCAGCATCACGTCTTGAATATACCCGTATACTACTGCAGCAAGGCGGTACTCACCGTCCCGTACACCAACCCAGAATTCGCCAGTCTTCGCGTTCTCGCCCGCCTTCTCTCTTCGAAATACCTGCATCCCGAACTCAGAGAGAAGCAGGGCGCCTACGGAGGCGGTGCCCGTCTTTCCACGAGCGGTGTATTCTCATTTTTCAGCTATCGCGATCCGCACTGCTACCAAACTTTAGAAGTGTTCGATCAGTGCGGGCATTGGTTGGAGAGGGAAATTGGAAATATATCGGATCAGGACGTGCTCGAGGCCAAATTGGGCGTGTTTCAAGCGGTGGACGCGCCCGTGCCTCCCAGTGAAAAAGGCGCGAATGAGTTTCTTAGGGGGATAAGTCCGGATATTTTGCAGCATCATCGAGCTGAAATTATGACCGTGGATGTTTCCGGTTTGAGAAAGGTGTCTGAAAAGTATTTTAGCGGCGATAAGGTTATTGCAAGCAAGGCAGTTTTGGGGCCTAAGACAGAAAGTGCAGATGCAACCAATCGGGAAGGAGAGTCATGGACAATTCTCCAAAGTGAATAGAAAATTTAATAAAATTTTATACTTGTTGAAGGAATCTAAATAACATTGTTGTAATAAAGACGGTGAAATAATAAATTATAATTATATAAAAAGCGAAAAAAATTGATTCGGCTTCAAAGAAGTACCAATATATTGATAGTCTCTTTTTTGTTCTATCTCATCATATCCCTAGCCGTTGTTTATTTCATACAAATTTCTCCAAAAATGGGGTATTTTACGCTTGTGTCCTCAGTGTTGGAATTTAAACTATATTTGCCGTAATACGATTTTTGGCATTTACGTACCATAAAAAATTTCTATTAAAATACTACACAGATAGTAGAACTTGACCAAGCGCATGCGCGGGGAGATTTTTGGCGTGCCCATTCTGTTTGTTTTCATCATTAGGGAAACCTACCATAAAAAATCGATCCAATTACTCCACAAATAAGAAAGCGGTTTATTGCGCATGTGTGCATTATCTCATTTTGTTTCATGCTATATATAAGCTGTATTCTTTTTACCACTTTTAAGTGAGCGTCTCAGCTTATCTCAGTTACTAATTGAGAAAAGTTATTCTTTTTAGCTGTCAACAACTGAGACGAACTAAGACATTTTACCTCCCCCTTTACCCCAACTGAGCTTGCTGTTAGGTAGAGTTTTAAATTGAGCCGGATTGGAATTTTAAGTTTGAGGTTATAATTGTGTAAAAATGTCAACAATAAACTTTAGTACCCATTCATTCAATGCAGTGTAAATTATTTTCAGTTAGTTGTGATGTGACTATTAACATTTAAAAAGGACAAAGAATTAATTATCACTCATCAACAAACATTTTAAGGTTATGTTTTCTTGCTTGTACCAAAAAAGATATTCTTTTTAGCGAGCGATTGACTCAGATAAATTCAGCTCAGTTTGTCTTAGTTAAGTTAGTCGATTTCCTCACTTTAATGTAAAAAGAATACACCTATAGCATACGACGGCTCGGTTTAATGTCAATTTCGGTATGAATGCAAAATAAATGCACGGAAAAACTCAAAAATACGGTAACTTGCGAAAGTGCAAAAGGCATAAAGATAAACTTACTAGGTATTTGGTTAAAAGCAAAAAGATCCCCTCTAAACAACGGATTTAACTTATAAAATTTTGCTATTTCATGGAGGGATCGACGGTTTTCCAGCCGATACAGCGTTTTCGGTTAGCTACAGCCACAAATTAAAACTTCCTTAATTAATTGCGCGACCTGTTGACGTCCTAAAAATTTGTAATTGGTCTTAAAATTCCAATTAATTAATTGGGCTTATTTAGCACTTAGGTACTTAATCGGCCGGATTGAAATGTCTAAAATCGGTAGTCCAATTAACACCTATTCTTAATTGGAATTTCTCAGCTCGGCATAAAGGTTTCTGATCAACCTGATAACGCCGTAAACCTGCACGGCTTTGCAATTTTAATGCTTGTTTTAAATTAACGTAGGAAACAGAAACCTGCTAAAAATGGTTAACGTGGCCTTGCAGATAAACAAGGGTATCAAAATTGGCACACTATGTATAGACTACTTTTATTTGTTATGTAGTATACGATGACGTTTCCTGTGATTATCGAAATTCATGTGTGCCATTTGGTATCTAATGGATGAAGTATTATATGGAAAGCAAAGTGCATGTGTATCTTTTGTTTTGGGTCGCATTTTCGAAATAGCTAATTTTCACGGAGACTTACATGAGGAATCTCACCATTTTAGATGGGAAATACACACAAACTTGCAATCTGTAACTAATTGATTTGATCTAAATAAACGTGTATAGTATGTTTCTAAAGGTTTAAAGGCTTTGAGTTATAAAACAAAGTTTATAAGCAGCGCTAGGTACTGCATAATGTGACAAAATGTTATGTAACATAATATGCGGCGTACCTAGCATTGTACAGGGTGGTTGAAATTCATGGCTCACCATTGATTATGATGGTGAAATGAGGGCAAAGTTGCCCCTTTTTGTGACTAAAAAACACATTTTCTTTGAAAAACTGGGTACCTATGTCAAATTTCGTGTTATAATTTGACGATTTTTTAAGTTTTTTTCTGCAGGAGATATAATAGTTATTTATGCATCAAGGGCATTAAGGCGATATTTATGCCGAGGGCGACAGAGCCCGAGGGATTGTAAGTCGCCCGAGGGTTACATATTGAGTAATGCGTGAGGTGCTTACAACATTTTATTTTTCATCATTCCAAAGAATGCATTTCCAATATACAAATGTCATGATTATTGTTTGCCCAACATTAAAGTGCTCCATACGAATCAAGTTGCATCTTTTTTATGACATAATATAACTCCGTCAATCAATTTGACAGGCCGTTTGAGGGCATAATGAGATGACAATCCATTATGCCCTCTCATTATGCTCTTGGGCGTAATAGACTGCTTCATATATCACATATGACAGATATAATTGACATATAATAGGCAAATGAAAAATAAAAAACTTAAAAAACAACATCAACGCCATGTTGATCGGTAACCAACCTATCATTTTAAGAACTTTTATTCATACAATAAGTCAAAGAATTAGCCCCTTCCGTAAATTCTGTACATCATATTTAGTAACACCCTTTATACAACTTTATTTATGTAATCCATGTCGTTAGGAACAGGGTAACAATCTGCAGGGTAATGCCAGGATAGTTTCTTTTGCTTTCCCTTTCAAATGATGAAAGTTTTAGGTGCCTATTTTTTACATTGGTGTTTTGCTTTCTTTCTGAAAATCGCGGAATCTATTTTTTAAGTATATGCATAATAGATAGAAATAATATCTTTATGTACCGACGTAAGACGTGGTGCTGATCGTTTTTCTACTCTTATTACTAGTATTTCCATCTAGTGTCATAATGAGCGATTAGCTCATTAAGGGGTGGTTCTGTAATTGTAGAACTGCCCCTAACTAAAATGGAATATAAAAGTAATTAGGTACTTGCTATTATCCTACGCATTGTTGCCCCGTTCCTAATCACAGTGATTAGTTATTGTAGCCTGCTTTTATTACCAAAATCCAATCATTAGGTCCCCTTACGTAATAAAAATGGGTAGGTATGCGGGTGTAGGAGAACAGCATCTTACGTAGGTATACGAAATAGAAGTTCTAACGAATTCTACAATTTTTTCTCTCCAGATCCAGTGACCAACTATTAAATTTAATCTTACGCCCTAAGCGGGTATACAAAGCGTAGGTATGCAGTTATGCTGTACATATCGGGTGAATCTCGGGGATAGGATAGAGAGTTTTTCAAATTGTGCATTTTAACGCTGAATAATTTGTTAAATAGAAATTTCAACAATTCTTGTTACTTCCTGAGATATGCGTAAAAAGACAAAAAAGCAGTTTTTTTTTTAAATTTTACGGTTTTATTATTGATTATTTGGGAAAATCATTATTGATGGCATTCTTTCTATACTCTGACTTGATTTTTGCGACGTTTCGGTTTTTGGATACCAACATCAATTTTAACGAACGGTGTATCTCTCACACGAATTTGGAACACCATGTATAATATACTATTGGCTTCGTTATTTTCATATTGAGAAATTTCGTCGAGCTCAGATTTTTTCACAGGAGTAGAAATTTTGTACTAATTTTTGATTAATCATAAAATGCGTACCCAAGCAACCTTGGAAAGCCGCAAATCTATGTTAGGTTCTTGAGCAAAAAAGAAGATCGATCATTATGGGACCTTTCAGTATTAAATTTTAGACTGACATAGGAACTACATAGTGACCTTTAAAATGAATGAGATTCTTTGAATCTTGGTTTTGAGAGTTTTGAGGAATTTCGCAAAACTTGTTGAAGGTAATACAGGAAGTACATATATGGTGACCTTAAACTGTTTAAACCGTTTTCGAGATATTCGCTTTTAAAGTTTTGACATAATGGATATATTTCTGCCAGGCGTCTCAATCTCCCTTTGTCCCTCGTACAATCCGCTCTTGAGATACATGGAATACCATGAAAGATAAAATCCATTTCTACCCTCCCCCGTCAACCTCCGATTTAGAAAAGAAGTCGCGCAGAAATATAGTTTGTACCTATTCATGTCGAAGAGACCTTTGGTTAGAATACCATGAAGGGTAGAACACGTGTTCACCCCCCTCCCTCTCTCATTTTCAATAGTTTTACCTGGTACCACTAAAGCCATGCGTATGCAAAATCTGAGACCAATTGGTTGTCGCATCTAAAAGTTATGCACGTTTTACAAACAGCATCTCAAGAATTAATTCATGGGGAGGGGTCCCCCTTAAGACAAGAAAACGCAAAAAAATAGCAAATGTTTAACAAATTTATTAACAACAACCACGAATGGGCCTGAAAACATTTTTTTTAAATTTAAAATACTTAAGTTTAGAGGGTCCGCTTTAGGAACAAAAAAAATGGTTAACTACATTGTCGTCATGTAGACGATATTATGACTTCAGCACCTTGAATGGGGTTGGACCGCTCTGTATGTGAAATAATTTCAATTTTTAAGTTTGTGGTTATTCGTAAATACCGACCAGTGTCATCGTTTCGTTTGAATTTGTATTTCAGTATTTGTTTTTCTTTTTAGAAATTTGTGTAGATGCGTATATAATTTTGTTTTAATTTTTTTGCTTTTGTAAGTTGTGTAATTTTGTCGTTTGCGATAAGAAGTTTTATTGTTGGGGGAATGTTATTTATTTCCAACGAAAAAAATGCGCTGTAAACATTGATATACGTGTTAACCACGGAAGCTTATCTGTTTTAGAGCGTTTGTAAGAATTAAAAAAATGTGCTGTTGTTTACGTTTTGCCCGTCCGTCCCTCCATCTGTCCGCCCGTCCGGGTCCACTTCTGCGGTTTTGAACTACTTTTAGGGGAATTGTCCTGGAATTTTTTGCAATTCGTAACCCAAGGACCTCTAAAATCTCCCTTTTTAAACCACCTCCTGTTCGCCCAGACAAACTGTATGGGCGAACAGGAGGTGGTTTAAAAAGGGAGATTTTAGAGGTCCTTGGGATACGAAGAGTCAAAAGGTAGCCTGTAACCACTAGGACCGTTACAAATTGGCGCCCGAGCAGGGACTGTGGTACTTAGGATCAGGGCAAAGACCTAAGATGGTTTCTACTTTTATAGTGTTTGGAAAGATTTGGGAATGTAATGGTGAAGGTAATGGTACTGGTGGGAATGTCAACAAACATGACGTCTCCGAAACTACCGCCCTCTCCTGATAGAAATTTAGATTAATTCCAGATTCCTACAGGAGTCAAATTTAGAATTATTTCTTATTAAATTTCACATCTTTACAAAACACGCATTAAGCACGATCTCTTCATTTAATAATAATAGTACATTTCATGCATTGTAATACAAAATTACATTTAATAGTACAGATAGAGAAGTACAGTATTATTGCCTGAGCACCAAGATTACACCGAGGGGTGTAAGGTGCGAAGGCAATAATAGACTTCTCTACCGTGGTATATATACTATTTTTTTCACTTGAAATCCTCTAAATTAACATATTATATTGATAAGAAAGTGAACGGTTGGACAGAATTTTTTGTTTATTAATTTAACATGTCAATCAAGTGCGTAGAAGTACAAGTCAAACAGGCCGTATTTTGTTCTGATATTTTCAAAGAGTAATTTCGTTCGAATTTTTTCAAAATGTGATTAATTTTAGGTATGTAATTTCTCTGGAAATGGCGGATGGTGGCAATTATTCATTTTAGAGAACTTGTCCAAACGTTTATTGTGCGAAATTTCGGGTTGTGTTTTCTAAACTGACAGCGTGACAGTTCTCATTATTGACTACTAGTTAATAATGTCCACATTATTAACCACTTTGAACAAATGCCGAGAAAGCCTACTTTACAAGTGGAAAAAAGGTTAATAATGTCATCAGACGCTAGTAGTGAAAAAAATCTTTTACCGTCTTTTGCATCAAAGATGGACTTCCGACTGCCTCAGAAGGAAGTTTTTTGCCGCCTGTACCGAAAAAATTAAGCGAACCGTTGCTGAAATCCATGATAATACATTGGATTTTAATCGACGCTTAAGCTGAAATTTAATTTGTTGCTAGCGAATTTTTCGCTTAACAAGAATTCGATTCTACGATCTCTATGTGCTTGTGATTTTTGTGCATATTGTTTGTTGAAAACGTGTGATTATTGATTTATGTATTTGTTTCAGATATATTCCCGGAACGGTAAGTGTCATTAATTTTACAATACTAACTTTTGGATAGAAGTGTTTGTAATTCATTTCAGTTTTGCTCTCGAACTGATGAATTCTGGACACCTTCTGCCACATAATGTCTTTTCATAAAGATGCGAATGAGTATTTTCGAGAAGTGTTGACCTTCTTACGAGAAGAAGACTGGCTGTTCAATTATCCAAACACGCACATTTTTGTAAATAGAATCTTGGACAATTTTAAAACTGACTGGATCAGACCTTTGCGATGTATCACTAATAAGGAATTAAACGATATACCAGAAGGTTTTGTAAATGTAAGCTATTTTCCTTTTGGTTTCCTCTAGTAGAGAATTTTTTAGAGCAACTGGCCCACGGATTTCAAAGAGCTATTGGTTAAGATCGCTGCCTTAAAGCAAGAAATTCAGCATTACAACTGTAGCCAGCAACCTGTGGTTTTACAACCCCAAGTTCGTTTATCGGCGAAAAAGGCGCACGAAATTAGTACGTTACCATTGGTGATTCATGACATGTGTAGCAAGCACAACGTTACTGTTTTGGTGGACGTTGGGGCTGGAATAGTAAATCTTGTTTGAACTGGTACCAGTTGGCTAAGTGCTTCATTTTAGGGATACCTCTCTCTTATTTTACACGAGAATTACAATTATAAAGTGCTAGCAATTGAGGGGAGTGGTGAAAAGGTCGAGCTGGCGCTCAAGTATCAAGCCAAATTTTACCCATCAACCAAAGGTGATGTTAAATTTGTACATCATTTTATCACCGAAAACTCTGCCACCACAATTGAGAACCTTTTGAGTGAGCGTAATTGGAAGCAAAACGTCGGCATTGTCGGACTGCACACTTGTGCCGATTTGAGCGTAACCGTTTTGGAAATTTTCCAGAAATTAAGCTACGCGAAGGTAATGGTGGTCATGCCTTGCTGTTACCATAGAATGGAAGAGAGAACCCTTACACCTGAACAAGAACAATTTAAGCGATTTCCCGTTAGCGAAACGCTGAGAAGTGTTTATGGCAGTCTCAACGGGGAATCTTTCCTCAGGAGACCGTTTTTACGACTTGCATGTCAACAAACTGGAAATGCTTGGAAACATATGAGCGAGGAGATGCACGCTTTGCACTCAAAGAATTGTGCGTTTAGAGCAATTTTAGAAGAAGTCGCACGCGAAGGTAGGTCAAACTTCTAACATTTTATGGGTCGAGATTATTTTCTGTGCGTTACGAAATTTATTAGTTGTAATTTTAAGAATAGCGCAATCCCCATCTGATTAAATTTGGAGATAAAGTTTGGATGTGACACTTATAACTCAGTTAGTGTTCTCGGCGTGGGAGCGAATTATTTCGCTTCATGATTAGACATTTGGTTTGAGTGCACTTCCCTTATTTATCTTTGCCGAAGTCCACAAGCTCTAAAATGTGCGCTATCATTGTTCAGGTTTTCATCGAGACCCCATTATTCGTCACAGAAACGAGACAATTTAATTGCATTCATTTTCACAAACAATTTGTTAATCATGCACACGGCTTACCAAAATTACACAAGACTCTTTATTTACTAGGTTCGTAAACACACGTGACAAAATTGAAAAACTCTTTCCCGAATATTAACTAAATTAAATCTTACCGAAAGAAGTTTGTATCACTCACTTTAAGTCACTATTAAAACACTTGTCTTATCGTATAAACAAAAATTTGTGATTTTCGTTCCTTTGACGGATATATACAGTGTGTCCCAGATCGCGTGGAGTTGCATGGGTAACTCTAACACTCTGTAAAACACTGCCTTTAAATCCATGAAGAACGCTATCACCCTGCCACCTTTTTTTCCAATTCTTTTTCCACCAATCTCTGTAGTACATCTAATCAGAGATTCCTGTAGCCCGTTTGTTAGAAGTTTTTAAAAATACAAACTTGAAATTTGGTTTACAGGCAGAATTGACTATTGCGAATTGAAATAAAATTTTAAGATGGCGATGCTTCCGTAAACACTTGAATTGGAGTGGCGCCATCTTGAAGTTTTTAAATAGACACATAGTTTCTAGTTTTTTTCTAAATGCGTCATTTGATTCTGAGTTCAACGCAATTAATTTTATTTGTGTACGTTGTCATAGTTTTCTCAAAACATTTATGCAGGGGTCGATTCAAAAATTAAACCGTTCAAGATAAGTGAGCGCTTTTTTATAATCGAATCGTCTAAATACTTTTTTGAGTGGCGACTGAGAACCTTGAGGAAGTTTCCAGGACTGCTGCGATTTTTCAAAATTAGCAACCAAACAAAAACACAAAACTACCAGAAATGAATGTAGATTTGAATTTTAGGGCCACTTTTATTAGCATATTGTATGTATCCGGTAGTTTTTGAGTTATTAGCATTTTTTGAAAGAAATATGCTTATCTTTTCATTAGGTGTAGTAGGCTTTGTAAGCAATCGTTTCATTTGAAATGCCATTCGAATCAAATGCCAGACTGAAGTTTTTGGCTTGTTTTGGAACCTTAAGAATCTTAGAAATCGTAAATGATCTTAAGCTTTTAAATAGTTCCAGGAGTCCTAAGAACGTTAAGAATTGTTGCAAAAATCTTCAGGAGTCTAAGAAGCTTAAGAATCCTAAGAGTCAAGGATCCCCAAAAAAGAATTCTAAAAAGTTGAGAATTTTAGCAAAATTCAAATAATCAAGAAATTCAGGAATCATAGAACTCTTAAGTTTATTAGTATCACGGGAATCTTAAGAATTCTAAGAATCCTAATGATTCTAAAGATCAGAGCTATATAATCAATCTTAAGAGTTGTAATGGTCCTAATAATTTTAAGAATCTTGATTTTTAAGGTTTTTTACATTTTTAAAATCCTTAAAATTCCAAGTATTACAGGGTTTCTTAGGATTATTAGAATTTTGTGAAGATTCTTAGGATTTTTAGAATTCTTACGGCTCTTAAGATGTTTGAAACCCTTAGTACCCTTAAGACTTACGATTCTTAAGCTTTTTAAGGTCCCCAAGATGTTTGCAACAATTGTTAGGTTTCTTAGCATTCCTGGAATTAAGATCATTCGGATTTTTAAGATTCTTAAGATTCCAATTTATCGAATTAGATGGATTCTACGGATTGTGGGGGTGCCTAAAACTGTTGGGACTTCATATTTTTCAAGTAAATTATATCTTACCGAAACAAGTTTTCTATCACTCACTTTAAGTCACACTATTAAAACACTTGTCTTGTCGTATAAACAAAATGTGTTTTTATATATATGTGATTTCCGTTCCTTTGACGGAGATATACAGTGTGTTCCAGATCGCGTGGGATTGCATGGGTAACTCTAACACTCTGTAAAACGCTGCCTTTAAATCAATGAAGAACGCTACCACCCTGCCACCTTTTTTTTCCAATTCTTTTTCCACCAATCTGCACTTCTCTTATATACTGCATTATTTGTTCCCCAAATTCATACGATTTTCAAGATTCTTAAAATTATTGAGATCATTACAACTCTTAAGATTAATTATATAGCTCTGATCTTTAGAATTATTAGGATTTTTAAGGTTCTTAGAATTCTTAAGATTCCTATGATTCTAATAAGTGTAGGATTTTTATGATTCCTGGAACTTTAAATTTTTAAAATTTCTTAAAATCCTTAAAAGTCCAGGGTTTCTTAGGATTATGGGATTTGTGAAGATTTTTAGAATTCTTACGACTCTTAAGATGTTTGAGACCCTCAGTACCCCTAAGACTCTTACGATTCGTTAGCTTCCTAGGGTCCTCAATATTTTTGCAACAATTCTTAGCACTCCTGAAATTAAGAACATTCGGATTTCTAAGATTCCTAATGTTCCAATTCTTCGAATTAGATAGATCCTCCGAATTATGGGGGTGCCTAAAACTGTTCGGACTTATTCATATTTTCCAAGTACTTCAAACCCTTTTGATTCCTTATACGCCGCAGATGCCTGGGATTCCCCAAATTCCAATAATTCCAAGTAGTCCCTTGCATTCTCCACTCCTTGGTGTTCTTCGTATTCTTATACAGGGTCATTCTTGACGAGCGTCAGTTAGAAAGATATGGAAAACCTTAGAAAATGAAGATAAACTGATGTTCTTTAAGGGTTTTGGCACATGATGAATTGAACTAAAATATTTTCAAGATGGCGCCACTTCCGGAAATACCGGAAGTAGCCAAGATCGAATTTTCTTATGGTATGCGTAACACTCTAAGAAAGTGAGACTACGCCACTTTTTCAAAGCTCTCAACTTTTAAATATCCATAACTCCATTTTTTCAAATGGCACCCCCCATACCATAAGAAAATTCGATCTTTCTTTAATAAATCAGTGAAAACTGTGTTGCAATATCTCTCACCGTTTTCGAATAATAAATTTTTAAAATTACCCCTGCAAATTCAATTTTTGACATAAAAACTTAAATATCGGCGAAGCCCTTGGAGTAAAGGGTCAACTATGGGGTATCGTTGTACTGACGTAGAATCCGAAAATGTAGAAAAAATAGGGGGTCCCTATTTAAAATAACAAAGTTGATGGCTACTTCCGGTATTTCCGGAAGTGGCACCATCTTGAAAATATGTTAGTTCAATTCATCATGTGCCAAAACCCTTAAAGGACTTATCAGTTTAGTTTCATTTTCAAAGGTTTTCCATATCTTTCTAACTGACGCTCGTCAAGAATGACCCTGTATATTGTAGTCGAATCCTTAAAGTCTGAGGAATGTTTTGAGTGACCGCGGAAAGTCTTGCGAAAGTTTCCAGGGCTGTTGCGATTTTTCAAAATTAGCAATAAAAAATGTCAATATTCGCAATATTTTTAAAATTTTCCTGGAGAGCATGTGAGAAAGCGTCAAAAATGTGAGTAGAAAATCTCTTTTAAAAGCAAAAATTTTCTTTTAAATTTTGCGATAAGTTTTCCAGGAAATTTGTCCGATAGGTATTCTCGCACGATTAGGACGTTGTGCGCCGGTGCACCATACTGTTAAAACCAACAGTTTTCAAAACTCAATGCAGTATGCACTTTTTTTAAGGGTTATATAAACAAATAAAGTTGATGATCTCGTCGATACGTTGTATTGAAAACCTCTCAACGCTGTCTTGTTCTACTCAAAAAGTGACAATGGGAAAGTGTTATTTTTTTGTTTTTGTTCAAATAACACCACACAAAATTAAAAACGAAACCCGCAAATTTCGGTTTCTCTGGTATATCTTCGGAAGTAATCTGAATTTTCTGGTTTTCTGTAAAGCATGATAGTAACTCTTTAATTGCATATCTTTTTTTAATTTAACCATCGTCGTCTCTTCTATGGTTTCCTAGATCTCGATGATAGACATGCTTATCTTGGGCGCAGTATATACAGAGCGAGTCTCTAACTTGAAATAAATTCAGTAAATGATTTTTAATCTTCTAAAATGTTATTGGAAAACTCAGCACTTTTATGAAAATAATAAATCATTTTTTGAATCAAAATCAATTACCGAATGCTAATTCCAGAAAATTTCTTGAATAATCTGGATAAGGTGAGAATTAACTGTACTATTATCATTCTGTACGATCTCTAGTATCTATTCAATTCTTGACGTCGAATGACAACTTTATTCTCCTTAACAGTTTACTACACATAAAATACATGGAAAATAGAAAAACCTCTTAAAAGTGACTATGACTTTTTGTCATAAAATTTTAACGGAATGTTCTACTATTTCGGGGAATCTCCAAGGATTTCAAGGGATGACTGAGGATCTCAAGCGATTTAATTCACACACTGAGTTCAAAAATGGGTTCGCTGGTGGATTTTTAGATTTAGAAGCGCCGTTTGCATATGAACTTGTATTAGCTAATGTCATATGACATTCATGTTGCTTATGAAAACAGTAAAAGCACTTCATTGTTCCATTATAATTGACGATGACAACTTTAAGCACGACGTAGGGATAGTGGAATAATAATATGAGTTTCTTAACAACTTTATCCTTTTGCGGTTAATTAATGCCTAATTGCAAATGAACGTATACCTAATTAGTGCTTCATTAGAAGCCAAAATCCCAGCTTGCTTTATATTATCCTAATTTGACGTTTTTTTTAGGTAACTACACGGTGCGCCGTTTAAAGCGAAAGAGTGGAAAAGGTAATGATTCTAATTATACAATGGACGCTTACGTGAGTAACTTAAAAATCACGCACAAACTGGTAACTTCAGAAGGAACGGACGCTGAAATTGATAGTAATTTTACAGCTAAAATGTTGGAAAAGTGGGCCGAGTACAAGGAAAAGTGCTACTTAGTGGAAATTTTAACCGCATTACAGACGGCGATACAAAGCATATGTGAGAATATCGTCCTTCTGGATCGGGCTCAGTCCTTGAAGGAAAATGGTATTAACTGCGACGTTTATCAAATTACGAATGATCGTATTTCACCTCGATGTCATGCTCTGCTTGCCAACAAGTAGCATTTTTCATCATTCTTTCTACTAAGTATCTATTTGGCTTTAGCACTAATACCTGCACCCCGAGAGACATTTCGTTTGTAAATTTTATTATCAATAAATACTAAAACAGTTTGTATTAGTAAATCGTTTAGGGAAAATATCGAAGAAGCTCCTTTGAATTCTTTGCATGGAAATATTCAGTAGATCCTGTGTTGTTGCTCTAAGACTTAATCCGTGTTTTTCATTTTCTGATAATAAATATAAATGTATTGAGCGTTTTCAGGCATTCAGAGTTTCTTTGTGTCTACAAGTTATAAGTTAAATTACTTATTTTCTGTGTAATTTAAGAAAATGTTAGATTTGATCTGGAAAGGTTTTTTCTTTAAATTTGGAATGCTTAATTGATGTATTTAATCGTTTGCAATCGTGGATCTTGTATTAACAGAACATATTCGGTCACTACGCCACCTATAAAACACCTGTCCAGCTAGCTCAAAACAAAACAACTAATTATTCTGACATGAAAACTCGATCCGGGTCGCACAATGGATTCGAATAAACACAATGACAATGACAAAAACTGATTGAGAAACACACAAAAAAATTAAAACAAAATCCCTGAAAAAGAGAAAAGCTTACAAAGCTTGTTTGGAAATATTACCCCCCAGCAGGCGGTCGACAATTAAAATAAGAAACCAATCTTAAAATCATTTCCAGTTTTTTTCTTAATAATCCAAACAATCTGGTCGTACTAGGTTTGCGGTACTAGGCGCACTTAAACTGGCACAAAAACACTCGCTGACAGCGTCAGGAAACTTAACTTCACGCAGAATTGGATCTAAAACAAAACTGAGTTGATGAATAAGATGACAAATCGAGCAACATCTTTTAAACTTCTTACACCACTTTGGTTAATTTGCTTCTGCGCACTATTTCGATACTGACGAATTACGTTTTCATATAAACAGGCTGACTGCCCGTAAAAAATTCGTGTAATCAAATATAGCGCTCTTCAACCGTTGCCTCGTGTTCTCGTTGTCTCTACAATTATAAATTATAAACTCCTTTAAGAATTTTCAAATAAATTCGAAATTTCGAAAACTTTAAATGATTTTTTCTATCAAATCCAATTCTAATGGGTCCATAAATGGTAAAAATACATTCAATGCAAACAACTTCATATTTTCCCAGAGGTTGATATCTTTAAGAAAACACAGCTCCAATTTTCCTTCATAGTTTTCAGCTTCCACCAAATATAATTCACGATGATTTTTCTTAAGGATAGACAACCTTTAATTTTACATCACTGTACCTAGTAAATCCGGTTCTGAGAACTTTTGAGACTTTAACATTGCAAAAGTTGAATTTGGAAAAACCGCCCTAACTAAAATTGTTTTCGTTCCCTTTGAGGGAATTCAATTTTACGATCCATTGCAGTTTGTGGTATTGGTAAAACGTGGGTCCATATGGACAATTAGCCCACTTCTGAAAGTAATGATTATGCTAAATGTGGCACAAACCTCGTTCGTAGAAAGCTAATAATAAGGTGACATTCTCCCTAGACGCAATTCGCCGTTCAAATCAATCTATTGCCCCTTAAATGGAAATGGAAGCGTGCGGACTAGATAATGGATTCATTTCCCGAACCGATATCATGTAAAGTGCACAATTGTTGCTATCAATTTCAATTGTTGTGGTTCCGAAGGCACCTTTTACCGACAATGGTTATCGGCCGCCCCAATTGAAACTTTATGGCTTTTGCTAGTCAACGGAACACATACGCAACATTTGTTCATATTCCGAAAAATATAAACACAATTATACAGGTAAATTCTCCCGTGAAATGTAACAAGGGTCGCAAATTACTAAGACTGAATAGCTGTTAAGTCTCTAATTTTCCAAACGACAGGTTAGAGTTTCTTCTGTGAGTAAGTAGCTGTGTAATTACATTCGGGAGTTAAATGCACAATTATCAAGGCTTCATCATTTATGTTGAATGATAATTACAAAGTTCTTAATAAGTAATATGTATGTATCAAGGTTACAGAATAATCGGAGACGTTCAAAATAAAATTAGCTATTTTGAAAATACCGCCCAATAATCTGTTTCTTTCTTAATGCAGTTTAGCGGAAGGGAAAGATGTCATTTTTTCACTTATAATTGCACAAGAGGTTTGTATTTTACCGAGTAAATTTGGGTTGTTTAGGTAATGAAAATCTGTTACCTAGTAATTAGACGAGAAAAACTGTCAACTAATAAAAATGCGACACCGCAGGTGGAGCATTTTTAGGTTGACAGTTTTTCGAGTCCAATTGCTAAAAGGAAACAGATTTGAATTGCCACAACCCAAATTCTAAATACAAACCTCGAGTGTAATTCGGCAGGACAATTTAACGAACAAGAAATTTAATCAATTATTGACAGACGTCAAACTATCATATGGGAAAGGATAATGCTAATTGGTTCGAAAATGAATAAGTGAAAAAACCACTAGTGCATTTGTCGCTGGAAAAGTTGCAGGTAACTTTTGCCGCTGTCAAAGTGACAATTGCACTGCGGCTTATGCGATTTTTTATACATGAGTTGAATTGTCATTGTAAATTAATTTGTAACTAGTAAATTTAAAATTCTTCTAGCCGTTCGATTTTTTCTACATTTCTTATTTCGATGTTTCTAATTTGTCAGTGTCTTTAGGTTCTTTGAATTCTTCCGCTTCTGTTTAGTCCGGCTTCGGATTTTTTACTTCGGCCATCGTTTTTTCTGTAGTTTTCCGAATTTTTGGTTTCCAATTTACAGATTTTCCAAGTTTTTTAATATTTTTTTGATTTTTGTTTTTCGAACTCTTATTTAATATTGCCCCATTTATTGGATTATTTTGTTTATTTATATTGGCCCTCGATTCGATTAATCAAATTCGTCTGAACCTTAAGTTTCTTCTGGTTCATCAGACATCAGGTTTTGAAAATCTTGTTTCTTCAGATTCTTCCCAAACTTCAGTGTCGGATTCTTCCGATTTCTCAAGTTTTTTCGATTGTTCAGTTTTTTGGAACTCAGAGCCGTCATTAATTTCTTCAGTTTCTTCGAATTTTACATATTTATATAATTCTGTGGATCCTTTCCGATTTTTTGAATTATACCACATATTTAAATAGGTAGTATATTTAAATCTGTGATTATACCCATACTTCAGATAACCTCAAATTCTTAAGGTTTTTTTGGATTCTTTCTAAATTTTCGGTTCACTCAAATTCTTTGATTTCTTCAGATCCCTCAGATTGTTGAGATTTTTCAATTTATTTAAATTCTTTCAATTTTTCACATTTTTCTTGTACATTCGAATTCCTTTGTGTCTTCGAATTGTTCCGATTCTTCGTATTCATAAGATTGGCTGGATTCTTCGCTTTCATTGAAATTTTCCAATTTTTTTAATTATTTTTTTCTTCGTCTACATAAGGTTCCTCAAATTTCTAAGTTTTTCAAATTCTTCCGTTGCTTCAGATTCAGATTTCAATTCAAATTCTTTGAATTCTTCATGTGCTTTAGTTTCTCAGATTCTTGAAATTCTTCATTCTTCGAATTATTTCGATTCTTTAAATTATTATCCATTAGTTTATTAAAATTCTTAGGAATGTTGTGAACCTGTGTGAAGTTACTAATAATCTAAAATTCAACCGGCAATCGATTTTGCATATTTCTCGTGAAGTTAGCAATAACGACACATCAATAATTTTGCAAAAATATGCATATTAACGTGGAAATTCTTAAAGATTCGCCAGTTCTTCTAATTTTCCTTGGGTTCGGCATGTGCTTCGAATTTTTTCCGATTGTTTGGATTCTGCTTAATCCTTCAACGTTTCCCGTTTTCCTGATTTTAGTTTTTCGAATGTTTCGGATTCGTACTTTTTGTCCCATCTTATCGACTTTTTTATTTTCAGATTCTTCGGATGTATTAGATTCTATTGATTTATATGATTCTTTGAATTCGAATTTGTCTGAGATCTTAGTTTCAGTTCTTCGAATCTGCCGTTCTTTCGTATTATTCCCATTATTTAGTTTTAATAATAATTAAGACGAAGAATAATTGGCATGAGGCGTCAGAATGCGACGACCCCGTCCCCGTTTCGGTAACACGTATAAAATCAGAGTAATCATTTTGAGGAGGTAATGTTTCGGGAAAGTAGAATGAAGAAAGAAATACTTGATCCAATTTAGAGAAATAAAAAATAATAAATAAATAAATGGCCTTTACTTACAGCTTACATTGACTTTAAAAAGTGTTTGATCCTTGGTTATTAAAAAGAAAAATAATTTTTAACCAAGGAAGTAATTCCCAATGGGCAACAAAACGAAACAAAATGAAATAGTGGGAACAGATTACATTAATCCTAAGCGACGATGCAGAGGGAGGAGAATTGAAACGCATCGAATTGCGCCGAATGCGTAACAAGAAACAAATTTACGTAATTGTTGCAGATAAAACAATATTTACAAGTTGCCGGAAGTTGCCGTGGATAGCGAAAATGATTTAGCTGGGGAGTTAAGATATTTACTTCTATCCCTAAAGCAACAGGGACACCGGAAAGTGGAATCAGAATGAGAAAACGGGCGTTCTGACCCCAATTACCTTTCTATGCTTTGTACTTACTCGTCTTCAATCATATTTTTTAGGGAATGTAGGTCGACTTGGTTGCTCAGGATCTCTCCGCCAATTCTGTTTGGCTGAACACTCATTGATTGGATAATTCAATAAAAAATGACAATTCAGACGCATCACAACAAGTTGCAAAAAATTAAATTTGCAATTTATATCGAGATTGAGTACTAATGTAATTGTAACCAAATGGCGAAATTAGGCACTATTTAGACTACACTAACCTGTACGAGTCGGCACTCTCGGCCACGTAGACATTGCACGCCTTAAATTTGCCAGCTTGCTTTAGATGTTAATTGAAAAATCTCATCGTTTAATCACAAATTGAGATCTCTGGATATTCAAATTGACTGCAGAGCTTTTATACAA